AGGAAATATGAGGTCTGTTAGCTTTTGGTACTCAATCTTGGAAAGATTCTCAAAAAGACTAGCGAGTTGGAAAAGGAACTACATTTCTTTGGGGGGTAGAATCACTCTAATTAAGTCAACACTAGCAAATTTGCCAGTGTACTTTTTGTTTACCTTCAAATTGCCTGTTAAGATTGCAAACCAGATTGAAAAAATAATGAGAGATTTTTTGTGGGAGCCTGCAAATACCAAAAAGGATCATAGGGTAAAATGGGAAGTGGTGTCTAGAAAGAAAGACAAAGGGGGTTTAGGGATGGAAATATTAGAATAAGAAGTGCAGCTTTGTTAGGCAAATGGTTATGGAGGTTTCATAAGGAGTAAGAGAGTCTATGGCATAAGGTGATAAAAAGTATTCATGGAATGGCAACAAATGAATGGGATGCTGGACTCAACCCAAGGGCTTCGCGTTTTTCCCCGTGGAAAGATATTGTTGGTATCTTGCCTTTCTTCTATCCTTTCATCAGGTATGATGCTTGTGTGGGTAATAAAATTCTTTTTTGGGAGGACTTGTGGATTGGGGAATCTCCTCTTTAGGATAGATTCTCAAACCTTTATTCCCTTTCTTTGAAAAAATCTCAATTTATCTATTCTTTTCGTACTTCTAGGGATTCTTGGGATTTGGGACTAAGGAGAGGTTTGAGGGACTCAGAAGTGGAGTCAGCAATTGATATTTTTTCTCTTCTAAGTTCAGTTTTTCTAGACCACTCCTCTCCGAACAGTAGAGTTTGGGCAGAAACTTTTACAAGTAGTTTTTCTTGTTCTTCATTTTTCAATGCTTTGGTCCTTCTAACCCAGTTTCCTCTTTTCCTATTAAAGAAGTTTGGAGCGCTCCTGTCCCCCCAAAAATAAGGGCTTTTTGTTGGGAAGTGTTTCTCCAAAAAATCAATACCTTGGAGGTGCTTCAAAGAAAGAGACCAAATTGGTGCTTGTCACCTCATGTCTGTAGCCTTTGTTTCAGGAATGGTGAGACAGTGAATCACCTATTAATTTCTTGTCCTTTTAGTGCTCTAATTTGGGATTGGTTCTCCTCTCTCTTTGATTGTAGTTGGAATCCTCCCACAAGTGTAGCGGATTTATTTGACCCTAGCTTTTTCTGACAACCAAAGAAGAAAGGAAGGGTGATGTGGAGAACAACGAGGGCAGCTATCTTGTGAGCAGTATGGGAAGAGAGAAACAATAGGATTTTCCAAGGGAAAGAAAAATCAGCTCCTGAAGTTATTGAAGGGATCACTATCAAGGCAATACATTGGCTGAAAACTCTTGAATTGTTCAAAGATGTCTCTATAGATGATTTGATTAGAGGCTGGAATATTTTAGCAAGATCTTCTATTTCATCACCTACCATACAAGAAGTTTGGTCCCCTCCTTTTGCAGTGTCATGTCAAATTGAACTTTGATGGCAGCTCTATTGGGAACCCCGGACCTTCTGGAATAAGGGGTGTGTTTAGAGATGAGGAAAGAAAAATCCTAGCTCTGCATTCTGGCCCAATAGGTGTGGGGGACTCGCTTAAAGCTGAAGTTTTGGCGTTCTCTAGGGGCTCAAATGGGCCAAGCAATTGGGTTTCCAACACTTGGAAGTGGAGGGAGATTCAAAATTAGTAGTAGGATGGCTGCACTCAAACAGTTTGGGAACGTGGTCCCTTAGACAACAGGTAAGGGAATTATTGAGCCTCACAAGGGAGCTGGATGCAAAAGTGTATTGGTCTAGGAGGTCAGCAAATGCTTTAGCTGACTACCTAGCAAAACAGGGGGTGAATCGGGAGTTTTTGTTTTGTGTAGTGTTGTAAGATTTTTGTTATTCAGAGGTCACCTTTTACTTTGGAAGGTGACAGTTGTTTCTTATGGTTTTATCTAATGAAAGTTACCATTTCCTATATATAAAAAAAAAAGAATATATTCATGTGTGACACATGTACAACATAACTTGTTACCAATATCATTGATCAAGCATCAATGCATATCTTTGTAATATGTAAGTTTTACATGAATCATATTTTATGATTAATATAAAAATTTAAAAATTCATTTGTACAAATAAAACATCACAAAAGTAATTAAGTATAATAAAAAATAATTTAAGTAAACACAATGAAAATAATAATTAAGAGAAATAATTAAACATAAAACAAAATAAATTGTTCATAAAGGTCAACAATAAGTTACAATTGTTCATAAAGGTCAACAAACGTAGTACAAATAAAATTAATTAAATAAATAATTTTCTTTGTTCAGCCATGAAGGTCTTGTTATTTTACCTATTTTTTTCTGGAACTTGGACTTGCTTCTTGAATTCTACTTCTAGTAATCAGATTTCCTATATGGGATGTCTGTAAATTTGCATCTTCTTTCAAATCCCCCTAAAAAATCAACTATAAATTTCTGAAAGGTCCATCAGACCGAAAGGAGACTAATATTCTCTCAGATTAGGAGCTTGGCATCTTGCATTAACACAAGCATAAGCCTTTGACAAGAACCAGTGACGATCCATCCTGTCTAAACATTGTGTATATAACAGGGATACAACTCTTCATTTCCCAAAATCTAAGTACCACTATTTAAAATTTGGATTTTTAAATCTAAGAATCAGTGATAATTTCATCATGCAAAATTTAATGGAACTCATAATATTTAACAGTTCTTGCAATAAAATTTGCTACAAATGCAATGTTGCAGGTGAGAACTGAGAACAACTGAAAAATGCTTCAAGTACCTAGATTTCATTCACCAAAGAGAAGCTCCCAACCTAGAGGGACCAAGCCTGGAATCATTCTGAACTGGTGATGCACACCTTTTAGACTATTAGCATTTCATTTTTTATAGTTCATACTTAATCTGTGCATCCCAGAATTGGTACTCTGCTTTTTTTTTTATATTAACAACTATTTCTCTCATTTTAATCTTGCATTTTTCCTTATAGGGTCAACTTCACAATCCTATAACTGGCTTCTGATTCTGGCTGATAAAACCTGTTTAGATGCAGATACTCATGCCAAGTCTATCATTACCGGTTACACCAAGGAATGACACATGTGCATTCTTGCATATGGTTTTCCATGCAATATTCACATTGGATATTTGTGGAAGTAAATTTTTTCCGCAGAGAGGCATCCACAAAACTGAGTCACTGGGCTTTCTGCATTCATCTAAAAAGATAGGAATTTAAGCAAGATGGTATTTAAAATAACATATTCCTGAAAGAAAAGAAAGAATCAAAACCGCCCTGAACTAGACAAAAACTGAGAACCAGTAAAAGTAAAATTTCCATCCGCTTCATTTTCTTTGATGCCAGTATCTTCTTAGCAATGATACATATTTCAGGCAGTATTTTAATCTTTTTCTTGAATGTTCTGTTGTTCAATCCTTCCCAACAGTTAGGTCTCTTCTCAGTATTCCCATCCTTGAGAATAAACAAGTCAATCTTTGTTGTTATTTGTAGCCTTTTATTGACATTAATCCTCTAATTTTGGACAGGGATTCCTATCTACTATAAGAATTAAACAAGAAACAAGCCATATATTTCTGTAGACTACACTTCAGACAATTGACTGTCATCAAGTATAATTGAGCTCAAACTTTAATTCTATCATGTAGTAGAAGCCTATAGTTACCAGGGATTTGATACTCACGAAGCAGCAGCAGCTACCTGCTTATATTGATGTTATGATGCCAACTGTTAAATTATTTTAGATTTTGAGTGGGTTTAGGATGATCATTCACCAACTTTATTTACATGCTTATATTGATGTTTTAAAACTCAGCCAAGAGCCATAGGTACATTTAAATTGAAAATATGTACCGCAACCATCATTGCATCCCAAGCTATACAAATGTGGTCGTGAAGTAATTACAAGTAACCAAGGAAATACTAACAAATTTAGAATCAAACCAGCTTTTACTGGTTAGTTTTAAGAAAAATTTTTAATTAAGCAATGAGTTTGTGATTCACTATGATTTTATTGTAACTTGTGGTTCAAACCTGTTTGATGTGATTGAAGTTTAATATAATGAAGTAAGTTCCAATTTATCTAAGAAAGGAGAAGTACAGAAGCAAGGAAAAACTTGAGGTTCCATAAGAAGATGATCGAAACTGAAAAAAAAAAGATAATCTACAAAAAATACAAGATATTATACAGGAACAACTGCATAAACAAAAACACACACACACACACAGATGGGTTCCTTCACATGCAGATCTACATGAAAGGTTACTGATTTTTGTCATACAAAGATCTACAGGGAAAAAAACACATGGAAAGGCAAATAGCAAACCTTAATGGAAATTGGAGATTGGAACAATGCCTGAATGCTCTGCAACAGTTGGTTGGGAAGACGGGTTTCTTCAATGGAATTTCAATCAATATCCGAATGCTCTACAACAGTTGACTGGTGGAAGCTGAGAATAAGGGTGAGAAGCAGGGAACCAGATAAAACAAAGATTAGGGGTGTGGCGCGTTCTAGAACATGAGATATTAGTGAGGCCAGACTGGTGCAATATTTTACATTCCAGGATCAGCCACAGCTCATTCTGGAACAAGCCACTCCCCTAAAAGAACGTGTTTTCACAGTGGCTCATTTCAGAATGGGCTGGAATGCGCAAAAAACACGACATCAAACACCTCCTAAGCTTCTCCAGTACAAATTACCAACAGTTCAGTACTCCCTCTTTTGGATGGAAAAATATGTAATGCTGCCACTAAGTTGGTCATCATGATAACAAGATCAGTTATCAAATGCATACAGGTTGTTTTTTTTTTTGAAAAAAGTTAACTAATTTTATTAAAGGAGAGGTTTCAAACTGGAAAGCTATTAAACAACATGAGATGCTTACTGGCTTCAACCTTGATTGGAATAAATAGTTAAACACCATATTTCATGATTTCATCATATGTTTTTGAGGAAAACAACAGCCTGTATTCACTTGATACATATTTCATAGTATTATAAGCTTAAAAGAAGTTCACTTTAACAGCAACATGAGGAATGACTTTTAAATCAGATATATTGTATACACTCGGTTGGCAAGAAATTGTTGCAAAGTGACTGTAGGCTGTTTTCTTTATTTTCCTTTCATGGTGTGAATCAAAATTATACAATGAATACAACCAATATCTAAGAAATGTGCAAGACCAGATTAGGAAATAAAACCCAGCTTAGTTCAAACCAAGGCAACATAAACATAGTATCCTCACATCCTTATAGGAGGTAACCTTGAAACAGTCTGCTGCATACAATGACTTATATTATGAACTGGGACAAATTATCAGTGGATAAAGATTGTGATGAAACTGAGGAAACAGATAAGGAAAAATCTTCTTAGAGCTGACCAAGCAAAACTCTCAAGCATCCATCCTTATCAATTCAAATAAGCCAGGGGAACAAGTCATTGGGCAGACTGCAGTCCAATGGCTGAAGAGATCACAAAGATGGAACCCTTCTTTCTCATCTTCCGCGAGGATTTACCAACTGAGAGAAGACTGCACTGGTTGCAGCATCTTCAGCATCATCATCAGTAACAGAGTTCACCCCATCAATCATGCTCACACTGTTATCAAATGGTGAAAGAGGTGCCAGCGGAATACCAGGAATATGGTTTGTGCTGTTGTCTTCTGGCTCAGTTAATGCAGATGAGGTCTCTTCGAGCTGGAGAGCATACTCAAGATTCCATAAGACATCCCCCATTGTTGGCCTATCAACTCCATGCTCCGCCAGACATTTCTCAGCAGTCTCACCAAATTTCTTGAGAGATGCTGGGTTCACCTTACCAACCAAAGTGGGGTCCATTATCTGGTCCAACATGCCCTTCTTCTGCCAGCTCATTGCCCACTCTGCTATATTAACTTGCTCCCTTGGGAGAACAGGATTGAGAGCAGGTCTAGTGCAGAGGACCTCCATCAGAACCACACCAAAGGAGTAAACATCAGATTTCTCAGTCAGCTGTTGCCTCCTAAAATACTCAGGGTCAAGGTACCCAAAGCTGCCTTTAACAGCTGTGCTTACATGGGTCTGATCCAGAGCAGGGCCCGTTTTTGAGAGGCCAAAGTCAGCAACCTTGGCTACAAAGTTCTCATCCAAGAGAATGTTGGTGGTCTTAACATCTCTGTGAATAATGCTCTGGGCGGCCCCTGTGTGGAGATAATGCAGTCCCCTTGCTGCTCCAATGCAAATCTCAAGTCTTTGCTTCCATGAAAGAGGTGGGAGATCTGTCCCATAAAGATGGCTCCTGAGAGGCCCATTTGCCATGTACTCATAAACCAGGATCATTTCTGACCGTTCATCACAGTATCCAATCAGAGAAACAAGGTGACGATGGCGGAGCTTGGATAGCATCTCAATTTCAGTCCGGAACTCAGCAAGCCCTTGCTCAGATCTTGGGTTCCCTCTCTTGACAGCTACCTTGGTCCCATCTTCAAGTGTTCCTTTGTAAACCCTACCAAATCCACCCACCCCTAGAAGCAAGCTCTCATCAAATTTGTTAGTTGCATCCATGATCTCTTGGAACATGAATAGGCGGCCAAGATTTGAAGAAACCAAAGAGATATAGCTTGCAGTTCCACTCTTCTGAGACGTTGTAGACCCTTTTGTCATGGTCAGAGAATTTCCATATCTGGGCAATGACAACCATGGATGCCCTTGTTGATCAGTCTTTGATCTTCGAGACACTAGGCAGCAATAAAACAAAGCCATCAATCCCAGTGCAGCTGAAATTCCAACAGCCAACCCAATTATAAGTCCCAGCTTACTCTTCTTTGAGGGTGATTGCAGAAGAAGGCTTTCGACAGAAGAAAGCCCATTCAAGCTTCTAGCATCATTGCTAATCTTCATGATCTCCAACCCATTCAAAATTGCATTTGCGATCTCTGCTATTGCATCCGGGCCCACACTAACAGTTAAAGTATCCGAATCAGCTGAGGAATTGGAGACAAAATCTTTGTAAAAAGGTTTATTCAGGCCACCAGCTTGGGATGCGACATCGAGACTACCATAGCCAAGATAAGAGTTGATGTATGCGTTGAAGACAAGGTTATTTTCAGCCTTGCTCACAATGTCACAGAAGTGTAGTCGGATGAAATACAAGAAATTTGGATCCACAGGGAAGACCCAAGTCACATTAAAATTTAAATCTTGAACATTTGCATTTCCCATGGTTTCTGCAGTTGCATAGATCCAATTTGGGGCCATCTCAGGTGTGAGAGCTTCGGAATAAGTTATTATTGCAGGGCTAACTGACACATTCACAGCAGAGCTATTCACGTGGAGGTACTTCCTGTCATTCTCCCAGGTTCTCCCAAGGGTGTCATTCTGTGGGGTGAGCAAAGGACCCCCCATGTTCAAACGGTAAACAGTCTCAAGGGCAAGATCAGAAAGGCCACTAAAAGTGGAAGAGGGGGATAAAGCCAATGCTGAGTCAGGAATCAACTCATCAGGGCCAGAAACCACTTCAATTCCATTGACAAACGTGAGTGAGTTGTTCAAAGGGATAAAGGTGAGGGTCAAGGTATCAGAGGTCACATTGACAGCATACTCCTTGAAGAGATAAGAACCATTATAGTTCTTAAAAGTGAAATTATTCAATAGAACAAAATTATCTGTGACTACCGTAATTGAAGCAGATCTCAGGTTCTGGCCAGAATCAGGTAGAGGGTAGAAATAGAGGCGGACCCAGTGACGCCCTTTCTGTTGGATTTCAAATTTGTACGAAGCTGGAGCAGAGAAAACTCGCACAGACTGAAAGATTGGAGAGGGGGCAGTAGAAGCAGAAGTAGAAACTATGGTATTCTCCTGACTTTGTAACACGAATGAGGATTGCTGTGAATCAGGAATAAATGTCCGACCCTGGTTGGTGACATTTTGCGATGATCCACAGGCAATCAAGTAGTTATCAACTGGAGAAAAGCTAGCATAGGAGCCACGAACTGTAAACCCAACATAAAGAACAGCAAGAACCAGAGGAACCCACTCCAGCCGTTTCATCTTCACCATCTCCGGTAGCCAAAATCCTCAAACCAAAAAGAACAGACCAATTTCACCCAAAGTCCCAAACTCAATCTCTCAGCATTCTAATGAACACCAGCATAAAAAAAAAAAAAGAAAGAACACTTCGATCAAAACCAATGATCAAAAGCCAAACTACTAGGAACTAAGAACAGTGTCCATCTTACAAGCTCCATAAGATGAGGAATTCCAATCCTTAAAGCCCAAATGTAGGAAATCTAAGCCCTGAAGAAATCAAATTTTCAAAATCACATAATATAACTAAATAATTTCCCACCACAGTGCTTCTACTAGGAACAACAGAGAAAGGAAACAAATCTGACCGAGATCCTAAAACAGCAAATGTACAAAGAAAGAGAATGGTAGAATAAAACTTGTCAAGTACAAGAGATTTTTTTTCCTTCTTTTCCGGAAAATCTCCAAAAACAGACCAAGATATTTTCCAGTAATCTTACCTCTTTCAGAGACCTAGACGCATTTGTTTTTTTGGGTAAGAATTGAGGTAGGATCACAGAGAAGACCCAGCGAAGAGCAAATCCAATGCCACCATGAGAACCATCTCTTGAAGCTTTTCTGCGGCTCAAACAGCTCTTTCCAGCCTGTAGATTAGACTGTCGTTTACAGTGAAGCAGAGGACCCACATGAGCATAGAAAAGAAAATGAAACTGGCATTTTAAATAATCTCCATTGAAGCAGCTGCTCAACCCAAATATTCTAGTTTGCCTTTGACACCCGTATCTTGGAACAGCTACGAATTAAATAATATAAAACGCCATGGAAGTTCTGCAGGTGAGTTTTTTGTTCTGGTTTTGTAACGTTAGAGATGTATAAACTATAAAGCTTAGAAGGAACAAGGAAGGGTTGGCTTGCTTTGCGAGCCTGGGACCATCGGTACCTGGACCCTTCTTTTACGCGGTTTAAGTAACGGAGAATCGTCTTCGTCGTTATGAAATGGACTTAGCAGTTAGAAAGTTGAAACGTAGGCGGCGAACTGTTGTGGCTTTCGTACACTGACGGCAGTTTGACGGCGTTAATTGTAGTGTTTATTTCCGATGATGTCACGTTACGGGGTCCGGGAAAATCTATCTTCCCAGCTTGTCGAGAGTACACTCTCTCCGACGATCGCCGGTCAAATCGATAAAAAGGCTTAGCACTTTTGGTTATTTCTTAATTCTTCGCTTGCAAGTAGCAACAGAACGCTCGCTCGCTCGCTCGGCAGAAGAGCAAAAGCAAAGGGACACCTGCAGCGGTCTGACGTTTCAGACCAGCCAGCCAGGTTAATCTCGTAGGCCCCATTACATTAGCTGGTGATAAATCCAGCGAACCACATTTAGACGTAAAATCGAGATCAGGGTGGACGTATGACTTACGACGCGATTTCTTTCGGGGCTCTCTCTAGGAGATGCAGAGACTTTGCTACCAGTTCCATGGACACAAAGACACACAGTTGGCAATTAAGCTTTTGCCCCTGTTTCCATGGTGGGATCCATCATCCATTTAATGGTAGTTTCCCATATTCTGAATACTGGACGTATACGAGCACTCTTAAAAAATAGAAAAACCAAAAAATCAAATTAAACCGAAAAAATTAAACTAAAAATGCAATTAATCAAACCGATCAATTCAGATTTGGTTCAATATTTGTAAAAATCTGAAGGATTGATTTGATTTTTAGTTAATCTAAAAAAATTCGGTGGTTAAACATACCAATGGATATATATTTTTATGTATATTATATATTTTTTTAATATATATCATATGTTATTTATATATATATATATATTATATAAATATAATATATATTTATAATTATTTATTTATAATATATTATAAATATATAAAAAAAAAATTAAAAACCGAACAACTGAATTAATCGAAAACCAAAGCCGATCAACCAGTAGTATCGAATTGAGCCAGTTTGGTAGGGGCTTTCAACTTTGATCAATCTGCGTTGACTAATCCATGTTTAAGAACCTATTAAAATTAGCTTCATAGGAAAGTCAATTTATTAACTGAACTAAAACTTATCCAAGCTTTATGGTTTTATATCTTCTTGGCTTTATAGGGCTCACCTTGCAAAGTCAAACATCTTTGCATGCATTGTTTTAATAGGCGGGGAATCGTTCAGATTTTGCTTTAAGGTTTAATTCTCACAGCTTTGATTTGAAGCTTAATCCGTTGTCGAAATGAGTATAAGTCTCGAATCTCAAGGCGTGAGGCATAAAAAGGTGTAAGTCTCAAATATTAATATTATTTAGTAATTTTATGCAAAAAATATATATATTTTTATGTATTTATTATTAGTTTAAAATATTTAGAAAAAGCATTTTAATAATTATGGACCAAATAAAAAGAATAAAAATGAAAAACTAATAGGGCCAATAAAGTTGTTAGTTTCTCTTGGATAAATCAAATGGAATTTTTTCTTAATATTCTAATTTAACATCCCAAGTTTGTTGTTTTTCTCATTTTCTTTTTCCTAATGGATTTGTTTTTCTTTTTATTGTTTTTTTCTTGCATAGATCAAATCAACTATAATGTTTCTTTTCTTCCCAAGTGTTGGATGACCATAAATCTAATGTTCATTATATAGATGATTCTTCATATAAATACTTTCATAAGATTGCATTTTGAAACATAAAATTGTAAAATACTTATAATTGTTAGGTGATTAATTATCATTTTATTTAATACTTAAAAGTTAAAGCTTATTGCTTATAAACTTCTATTTTATGAATATTTGTACCTTTCATCATTCTAACTTGGTATATTACATGTTATTTTTTTATCATTTATAAAATTTAATTACTTTGTTCTTAATTTTTGGGGCTTACATTTCACATTTTTGGGCCACTAGGCATCAATTATGCCTTTAGACTTTTAAAACCTTGCTTGCATGAAAACCCTTGCATATCGAATACTTGAGACTTTCACGATATTCACTAAACATAACTTATAGGCTTTTCACTTAGGATCCACCTTGCAGAGCCAAAAGCCAATGTGTGAAAGCCCTCCAAACACGCATAAAGCATCAGTATAAGGCTGTATTTGGCATTTCTTATTTTGAGAACTTATCTTCTTTTTATAATTAAAATACCTTTATGAATATACTAAATTTTTAATTGTAAAAAAGAAATAAATCCTTAAAACAAGGAATGTGAAATGCAGACTATAATGTTGCACGGTGAAGAAACCTAGAAAGTCATCAAGTTGTATTTGGTAAAAATATGGAATGTCCAAAGAAAGGCTTATATGAGCCAAAAAATTGACTGCGATGAGACTGACATATATAGGTTTCTTCTTAAGCTGTTTAGTCAAAACAACTTCAGAAAAGTACGAACAGGCCCAATGCAGATTTCTAATTTCCACCGCAGAGCTATAAATATTCAAAATGTCAACAATCCACACTATGCCTCAATGCCTGTCCATGAATTAGCATCAATTCCGAGTTGGCACCTACCCAATAGTACTTTGGGCCTGCAAATTCTAACCCTGGGCTGAACTGTAGTTCTCCCAAACAACTCAATCACCGCATAAACCTTCCCAAACTCCAAATATCAGGTTTTAATAGCCCTTCACCCAATGGTAGTACTTGCACATGATAGGATCTGCTCCTCACAAATGGGCACCTCACAGTCATATCCATTATGCATTGGAAACATCTTCCATGAATAATAACCAATAAGTACGGGAGATATTCCCAATACATGATAGGATGCGTGTGAGAAACAGGTCCGATCTCTACTTGCACCGAGCCCTTACGCTGTATATTAGTTGGCTCCAATATTTTTCAAGTACACATTTAGATTTTCATTTTTAGAGGTTTCCGAAAGTCAACATTGATGGTGGATAATTAATTTCTTTGCCTTTAATAGCAGAGATTCAAGATCAAAATCCAGTTGCCATTAGGGTCGGATGAATTATGGGTTTGGGCAGTGACAGAGGCAGAAATTTTTTGTTGAAGGGATCAAATCCAGTTCAACCTCCACTAAGTAACCATATAGATATGATTTTAACAAAAACTTTGGGGGAGAAGGGCCCACTAATATACTTGGCCCCTGGGTTTGGGGACCTACCCCAGTTGTGTAGCCCATGTTTTTGGGACATGGGTGGTTAAAGAAACAAGAGTCAAAGACAAGGCTGATGGTAGATGGCCGTTATACAAGTTGAGGGCTGTTCGACCTTTGGTTAAAAAAATCATAAACATTTTCTTGTACTCCCTAAATCCATATCCTACGCTACACATTGGACTACAATACGCAATAGATAGGGGTGGCCACGATCCGAGTTCTTCATAAGTTATCCAAGTTCGACTTGGCTCAATTTCAATTGAACTTTGAATTGAGCTCGAACCCAATTTACTGGTTCGATTAATAAATTAGTCAAGTTTGAATGTATATATATATATAATAAAATTATAGAAAATAATATATATATATATATAATACAAATATTATAATTCTTAATTACTATAATTTTTAATTTTTAAAATATAAAATTAAAAATATTTTTTATATATAATCTTTTATTTTTATAAAACATTTTTTCTCAAATTGAACTTGAGCTTACGAGTTTTTGACTCGAGTCGAGATCAAGCTCAAGATTCTAGATCAAACCGAACTTGAACCTTGTACTTCCTAGACAAGCTGAGCTCGAGCCTCGTACTATTCAGCTCGGCTCGACTCAAATCCACCCCTAACAATAGGTGAATGAGAAGAAGAAGATGCAGTAACGGAAAAGCTCTTTTACAAACAATTTATCTGCTAAATAACTCCGGTAGACCTAAAGATCACGTAATGATCATATAGTAATGGTTCAAAGTATGGATAAGATATTCAAAATTTGCCTACTGCACAGTTCAAAGGTATATGAAATGCACAATGAGACATAATAGCGTGATTGGCGTTGAGGAATTAATACAGAGATATCATCCTCTTCCTAAGTCAGCATCTTGTTGAAGATTCTTCGCACCATAACCAACAAAACAATCAAAAGATATTACTCATTGACAGAAAAGGCATCTAATCAAGGTGATGTCTTAGTTACACACAGTTGCATTTGAAAAAGGATTTCTTTCAAGCTAGCTGCATCCATCCACACTGATCACAAACATAGTACTAGAGAGCTGGCCAACCATTGTCCTTATTTGTTTACATTTTATGAAGCACATCATCTTCATCTTCATGGAACAATCTAAGAGAAACAGACAAAACAAAAAAGGTTTGGAGTCTGGACAACGAATATTAGGCTCCCTTTACATGGATTTGCGTTTTCTTAACGTTGTTCCATTCCATGTCTCCCAAGGATCCAATCCAATTCCTCCAAACACTTCATTACAAAAAATAGAACCAGGGGTGGAGCCAGGGGGACCTAGGGGAGCCATGCCCCCCCCCCCCCCCTATTCAGAAAATCCCTAATAGAGCTTTTCATGTAAATTTTTCTCTTTTTCCACTTTCCCACTTAATGGTTGACCCCCCTATAGGTTCATTCATACTTTTTATTTATGTTTTTAGCCCCCTTATAACAATTTCTCGGCTCCGCCCCTGTATAGAACTCAACCGTACATATGTAGTTGAAAGTTTGCTTCTTCGCTTTATCATGGTCAGCTGACCAGATTAATGGGTTGTACTATAATTCCGGTGAATTGGATTGGATTGAAGGTTAACACAGGTCCAACGTTCTTAGGTCTGGTTTATCTGAAGTTAAGAACAAATTTATTTATTTATTTACTTCGGATAAGATTCAAAATTTCAAAATGATATATCCAAATCGTATCTTTTGTTTCAGAACCCCTTTATTTTAATAAAAAATGTCCAAAAATCAAGTTTTGAAAAAAAAAAATAACATAATGAGTATAGGTTTTAGTATCGATATGCTTTTGCCGATATTTTGAACCTTGCCCAAGCCT